ATTGAACCCAGGTTACCTACAATGGAAGGCAGATTCTTAACTACTGGATCATCAGGGAAGTCCTCTAACACAACCTGAATTTTAAAAATTGGTGAAAGACTTCAATAAACATTTTTTTCCCAAGAAGATATACTGTCAAATAAGCACATAAAAACTGAGAATTCTAATTACTAATCCTTAGGGAGTTAAACGGAGAAGGCAATGGCACCCCACTCCAGTACTCTTGCCTGGAAAATCCCATGAATGGAGGAGCCTGGTAGACTGCAGTCCACGGGGTCGCTAAGAGTCGGACACGACTGAGGGACTTCCCTTTCACTTTTCACTTTCATGCATTGGAGAAGGAAATGGCAACCCACTTCATTGTTCTTGCCTTGAGAATCCCAGGGACGGGGGAGCCTGGTGGGCTGCCGTCTATGGGGTTGCACAGAGCCGGACACGACTGAAGCGACTTAGCAGCAGCAGCAGGGAGTTAAAATTACCCCAGTGAGATACCACTGCATACATATTAGGATGGCTAGTATTAAAGACTAATAAAGAAAACAAAGTAACAAGTGACGGAAAGAAACTGGAAACCTTGTGCACTGTTAATGGAAATGGAAAATGGTATGCAGATTCCTCAAGAAATTAAATATAGAACTACCATTTGTTGTTGTTGTTGTTCAATTGCCAAGTTGTGTCCGACTCTTTGCAACCCCATAGACTGTACCACGCCTGTCCCTCACCATCTCCCGGAGTTTGCCCAAGTTCATGTCTATTGACTTGGTGATGCCTTGTCCCCTTCACGGATCACTGCCTTGTTGTGGTGAAGGGGCTTGCATAACTCAGTGAAGCTATGAGCCATGCTGTGCAGGGCCACCCAAGATGGACGGGTCATAGTGAGAGTTCCTGACAAAACATGATCCACTGGAGGGGGGAATGGCAAACCACCCTGGTACATTTGCTGTGAGAACCCCATGAATTGCATAAAAAGGCAAAAAGAAACTACCATATGCCCCAGCAATTCTACTTCTGGGTGTTTACCCAAAAGATTTGAAAGCGGTTTCATAGAGCTATTTGTACCCCCATGTTCAGAGCAGCACAGTTCACAATAGCCAAAAGATGGAAACAACCCAAGTGTCCTTTGACAGATGAAAGGATAAACAAATTGTCCATCCACACAATGGATTATCACTGAGCCTTCAAAAGGAAGAAGATTGTGACACCTGCTACAATGTGGATGGACCTGAGAACGTGATGCTCAGTGATATAAGCCAGACACAAAAAGACATACTATGTGATTCCACTCACATAAGATTCCTAGAGGAGTCAGATTCACAGAGACAGGAAGTAGATGGTGGGGCCAGGGGTTGGGGGAACGGATGGGGAGTCAGTGTTTCAAGGGGACAGAGTTTCAGTTTGGGGAGTTGAGAAAGTTCTGGAGATGATGGTAGGGATGGTTGCTCAACAATATGATGTGCTTAATGCCACAGCTGTGCATTTAGAAATGGTTAAAATGATAAGTTTTATGTTATGTGCATTTTATCAGAATTAATTTTTTTTTTTTTAAGTAGGATGGAAGGAAAAAGGGAAGGGAAGGAGGAAGGAAGGAAGGGCCAAATTTAGCCTGACAACTTCCTCTGTACAGCCCTTGAGCTAAAAATGTTTTTCTCTTCTCAATGTTTGAGGCAAAGAATGCTATTTCACAATATTTAAAAATTATATATAACTCAAATTCAATGTTTAGAATAAAATTTTACTGGCACACAGACATGTCCATTGAGTAGAGTCATTGCTACACAGGCCGTGTGGAGCCTGCAAAGTTGAAAATATTTATTATCTTGACCTTTGCAGAAAATGTCTGCCCACCTCTTCCTCAAAATAGGTCTGGCAGGGACTTCCCTGGTGGTCCAGTAGCTAAGACTATGTGCTCCCAATGCAGAGGGCCCAGGTTCGATCCCTGGTCCCACATGCTGCAATAAGACCCAGTGCAGCAAATAAATAAAGAAATAAAAAACAGTGTCTGGCATATAGTAAGTGTTCGATATTTGGAGAAATTATTACTGAATATCAAATGGAAGAGTCTGATGTAGTTTACAATTGCACTCTGGTCTTTGGAGAGGGTCAGGCCTGGATTAAGACTTTGGCTCTGGCAACGTCTCACAGGTTGCTTCCCATGTCTGAGCCTGGGTTTCATTATCAAAAACAGGGATCAACCTGAATGTTGATCACACACAAAGAGCTTGATGTGGCAGTCTTGGGAGAATTAGCAGCCTTAGTTACTGAATATCATGACTGCCTCATGAGTCCAAACCCCTGGTGTTAACAATCAGTAGCTCACAGTCCACTTTGTTTCACTGATCTAGCCCCACACCCTTATCACTAGTTTGTTCTTTTTTTTTTTTTCGTAATCTAAGTTCCCTAAACAGGGACTGAACCCAGGCCCTTGGCAGTGAAAGCTTGGAGTCCTAACCATTGGACTGCCAGGGAATTCCCTCCTTCTTCAGTTCAGTTCAGTTGCTCAGTCGTGTCTGACTCTTTGCAACCCCATGAATCGCAGCACGCCAGGCCTCCCTGTCCATCACCAACTCCCGGAGTTTACTCAAACTCATGTCCATCAAGTTGGTGATGCCATCCAGCCATCTCATCCTCTGTCGTCCCCTTCTCCTCCTGCCCCCAATCCCTCCCAGCATCAAGGTCTTTTCCAGCCTGAGTCAACTCTTCGTATGAGGTGGCCAAAGTATTCGAGTTTCAGCTTCAGTATCCATCCTTCCAATGAACACCCAGGACTGATCTCCTTTAGGATGGACTGGTTGGATCTCCTTGCAGTCCAAGGGACTCTCAAGAGTTTTCTCCAACACCACAGTTCAAAAAGCATCAATTCTTCCGCACCCAGCTTTCTTCACAGTCCAACTCTTACATCCATACACAACCAATGGAAAAACCATAGCCTTGACTAGATGGACCTTTGTTGGCAAAGTAATGTCTCTGCTTTTTAATATCCCTCCTCCTTGGTCTAAAGCAAATCCTGTAGCATTTCTCCTGTACATATACCCTCATGTATTCTTTCTCCTCTTGTATTTTATTATTTTGTATTTAGGTATAGTTGATTTACAATGTGTTAATTTCTGGTATGCAGCAAAGTGATTCAGTTACATATATATACATATGTACATTCTTTTTCAGATTCTTTTCTGTTATGGTTTGTTACAGGATATTGAGTATCATTCCTTGCAAGATACAGTAGAGCTTTGTTGTTTATCTATTTTGTATATAATAGTGTGTATCTGTTAATCCCAAACTCCTAATTTATCACCCCCTGCCCCCGCCTTACCCCTTTGGTAATCATGTTTCCCTTCTATGTCTGTGAGTCTTTTTCTGCTTTATTAATAAGTTTATTTGTATCATATTTTAGATTCCACATATAAACGATACCATAGGAATGTGCCTTTCTCTTTCTGACTTCATTTAGTATGATAATCTATGTTATTGTAGTCCATCCATGTTATTGTAAATGGCATTATTTCATTCTTTGTTATGGCTGAGTAGTATTCCACTGTATATATAAACCAAATCTTCTCTATCCATCCATCTGACTAAACACTTTTTTCAAAACATAGCCATAATACCATTATCAGATCTTCAACTGTTCCAACCATGATGGCTGCAAGAATCTTATTATGTGATCAAAGTTCCTAAAACTATACATTACCACCACCAAAGGTGGTGGTGGTTTAGTTGCTAAATCGTGTACAACTCTTGCAACCCCATGGACTGTAGCCTGCCAGGCTCCTCTGTCCATGGGATTATCCAGGCAAGAATACCGGAGTGGGTTGCCATTTCCTTCTCCAGGGAATCTTCCCGACCCAGGGATCGAACCCAGGTCTCCTGCATTGCAGGCAGATTCTTTACTGACTGAGCTATCAGAGTATTTACCATCAAAGGAAAAGTACATATAAAAAACCAGTGAAATCCAAGTATTTGTACCTGAGTTGACTGTGTGGTATCAACATCAATTTCCTGGTTTTGACAACACACTGTGGTTATTTATGTAAGATATTATCATTGGGAGAAGCTAGATGAAGGGTACCTAAGGGTCTAGGGTGCCAGTTTTGCACCTTTTCTTCTTTTTTTAATGGCTTTAGTTTATTTATTTAACATTTATTTAATACGGATCACTTTTTTTTTTTATATTTATTCATTTATTTGGCTGCACCAGGTCTTAGTTGCAGCATGTGGGATCTAGTTCCCTGACCAGGGATCGAACCTGGGCCCCCTGCATTGGGAGCTCAGAGTCTTAACCACTGGGCCAGCAGGGAAGTCCCAATACGGATCACTTTTGAAGTTTTTACTAAATCTGTTATAACAATCTTTCTATGTTTTGTTTCCTCCCCGCCCCTACCAAGGATCAAACTCATCCTCCTGCATTGGAAGGCAAAGTCTTATCCACTGGACCCCTAGGGAAGTTCTCACATCCTTAAAAAGAAAAAAAACCCTATAAGATAAGTAAAACAAAACCCTGCAGAGTCAGAGTTCTGGTGAGGCGAGGGAAGTCACTTATACAATTACAAAGTTGTATACTCTCTTAAATTTTAGTATTTTCTTCATTATGGATATTTTTGCATTTTTATATAAAAATTGGTAACTTGATAACTGAGTCATTTGTGGCGCTTCATTTTCTCAAGGGATGGGCCCTGAAATACGTTTTTATCCTCTTGCTTTCTTTGACACAAGATCATAAGTTTGGGCTTACCAGCTCACGGGCACTGGGGAGCCACGGAGAGCTCTAAAGCTGGTAAGTTTCCGATTAGCGCAGATTCCAAAGGTTTACCGTGAGTGGAGGCGGAACTCGAGGGGCGGGAGTGGTGGTGGTGTGGTCACCTGCACCGCGGTAATTGGGTATGGGGTACAACATTTCTCCGCCGGCGGCGCACCAAGGGGGTGAGGCGCCCGCGCCCTCTCAGCCACCCCAGGACCCGGATGTACAGCGCGCGGGGCTCCCGGCCCGCTGAGAATGAACCGCGATGCGCTCCAAGGCGCCTCACTGCACGTACTGGAGGCCGCCGCGCGGGCCAACCATTTCCTCCTCCCAGGCAGCTAGGCGTCCGGTCACGCACCTGGAGGCTGCCTCGCGCAGGGGACCGCGACACCTGGCTGCATTGTTGTCGCCTCAACTGTCTACTCTCTCAGACAGGACCCAGCACCCGCCCCAACGTGTGCCGGCCTTGTACCCCTTTAAGAAACCAGACCGGCCAGGGGTGGGAGTGGTCGCCGTGAGTGAAACGGGAGGGGGTGCGTAGTCGGGCAGCCCCGATTGGCCCGAGGCCCGGGCGGTGGCCGCGCGCGCTTGCGCAGTGCGCGATCGCGCGCGCCAGAGGGGAGGAGGGCGCGAGGGTGATAATTGGCCGCGGCAGGGGCCCCGCCCGCGAGTGGAGGGCGATCACGTGACGCGACGGCTGGGGGCTCCCGGCGCGGGGGACGCTGGTGGCCAAGATGGCGGCGGAACTGGTGGAGGCCAAAGTGAGTGAGCGGTGGCGGCGCCGGCCAGGGCGGGCGGGGGTCGGGGGCCGGGCGGCAGGCCGAGGTCTGTACCTTCCGCTTGGGGCCCCACGGCGCGGCCCGCCTGCGGCTCGGCGTCCTGCCCCCTCGCCCGCCCCTGGCCTGGGGGCTCCGGTTGCGGGCGGGGCGCGAGGAGGCCGGGGGCGGGGCCCCCAAAACCTCACCCCAGTCTCCGCGCAGGGGGTTCGGCCCCCCTAGGCGTGAGGTTGGGTCCTCCCCTCTCCAACCCTAAGCGACTAGGGTCCAGATCGTGCTGAACACGGGCACAGGGCCGCGCCTCCAGGTTGTCCCCCCGGACAGCTTGACGGGCTGGGCTGCTCGTCCCTTCCTCGAGGTCGGCGCTCTTTGGCTTGGGGGAGTGTCTGCCTCTCACCGCTTCCCATGGTATAGTGGGCTGGCATCTGGGTCTCAAGTCTCTTCGCCCAGCTGATCAGGCTGCGCTTGGCGGATCTCTGCTCGGAAGGGTCCTCTGATTATTCTGGACCACTTCCACCATCCTGGGTGATGACCTGGGGATCCTGAACCGCCCCAAAACACAGGGTGTCTCTTGGGGGTCTGTACCCCAGGCTGAGGTTTAGAGCCCTTATTCAGCTCCCGCTCTGGTACCAGAGCCCCGCCCCCCTCCTGACACCCTTCTCACCCCGGAGTGGGCGCGGTGTTAACTGAGCTTGCCTTCCCGGGTGTGATGGAGCCTTGGTCCTGGTGTCGGCTCCTTCCTAACTCTTTTCTCTCAGTCATAGGTCCTGGGCTTTGCGTTCCTTCTCACTCTTTCCCCTCCCGACAGCATTTGGGCAGCTTTGAACTCTGCTCCTGGGAGCCCTAGACTCCACACTCGCAGGATCAGACCCCATTTCCAACCCCAGCTGGTTCCCTTATACTCACCCCATCAAGAGTCTACTGCTCAGACCACACTCTCCACACAGCCCCTCTTTAGATCTGTTTAGACACCCCAACTCTAGCGTCTGAGGCCCCGCTCCTTTTGCGGGTCTCTTACGTTGACCCTTGGAGTGTACCCAGTTGGGTTCCCAGTCTGTCTCCCCTGTATTGCTGTCTGGGGTCCGCATTCTACATCCCAAAGATGTCACCTCCTTCTTGTTTGAGGCCCCTTTTAACCATCTTGAGACTAAGCTGGGAACATCCGTCTCCCAGGGAGGTATCTACTGTCAGATGCCCCTGCGAGGTGAGGCTCCAGAACTCTTGCCCCTGACTAGGCTAGGGTTCTTGCCTGAGAAGTTTATTCAAGGCCGCTCATCTTTCGGAGTTGGGGGACGGGACCTAGCAAGACTGAGGCCCCGCCCCCTCCCCGGCTGATCTCCCCTCCCCGGGGTCCTGACCTGTAAATGTTTTCTCTCTCTTACTCCTCCCTTTCAGTCCGTCTCCTTTCCCTTCCCACGGGGATCTGAAATACAGCCCTCACGGTTCTGTGATTATCCGGTATTACCCTCCCTTCACCCCTGAGCGCCCTCCGCCTATACCTGCATCACACACGCAGCCACCGCGCTCTGTTTTGAGAAATTGAGACTTGCCCTAGAGACGCAGGGGTCTGAACCCTGCCAGCCCAAGGTGGCAGCCTGTGGCCTGAAGTCCCCTGGAGCCCTGAAATTTAACCTGCTCAGGGCACTGTGGGCCTGTGGCTCTAGACGCAGGCCCGCCACTCCAGCCAGAGAGTAGGATCTGAACTATTATACCATCTAGGGCCTTGAAACATGATCTGATGAACTCTACTTGACCCTTCCATGACTGGGGCCCCCTCCCCAATTAGATCAGGTTGACCCTTTTTCAAGTTCTCTAAACCATGAGCCTCTGTCCTAGGGGGTCTCAGGACTGTCACCCAGCCCGCTCTGATCCTCTGGAACCTTCCTACTTCTTCAGTGCCTTGCTGTCCCCTTGGAGTGCTTTACACCTCATTGAAATGACTCCCTCTTTGAGGCACTTTCTTAAACCTTTCATAGTGATAACCAGAGACTTATCTTTTGGGATGCAAAATGGGCTGATCTGAGAGGAGAGCAAGGGGGACTTATTCATACACTTGGAAATCTGAGACTCTTCACCTGAGGCCCCTGAGAGGGGTTGGGGGGAGGGGTTGGGCTGGGCACTCCCCTAGAGGGTGTGTAGCTATATGCGCTGAGTTCTGAGTTCTGCAGTGAGGAGCCCCTGTTTAGTTGAGCATGGCTGTTGTATCCAGGCCGCTGTTTCTCCTCGCGGCTCCTAATGGGCCCAGAGTTGAGGCTCTGGAAGCCGTTGGGGCCTGGTGCTGTTTATAAACACAGATCTGAGGGGCAGGCGGGTCAGGATAAAGCCAGGCAGGAAGTGATCTGTGTAGCGCTTGGGGCTTCTTCCTGAATGTTTGCGCCCTGCTCATTCCGCTCCCCCCCTCACCCAGTGTCAAGGGCAGGCTCCTGGGTAGTGGCAGCTGCTGAGAAATCCGAGTCCTGAACATATGGCAGCTCAAGAGGTGTGCCCCAGGCTGCGTGTGCACACAGGGCTTCTGGATATCCCCAACCCGGTAGAAGGGGCAGGTGGGGGCAGCAGCTCCCCAGGGCGGAGTGCCCTGTTGTGGTCAGACTCTTAAAGGCTAGGCCCACCTGCTTCAGGCTCAGTGGCTGGTGGTCAGCTCTTCCACATGACTTCGCCTCTCCTCCTGAGTGCCTTGGGCCTCTTCCAGAAGAAACATCTTGTCTGCAAGCCTTTCTCCTCTGTTCAAGGTAGAAAGTCAGGCTGAGGAAGGCAAAGCCTCTTTGTTTGCAGAGTTTTCGGACTCTGTGGGGGCCTGCAAACCACTGGGTCCCCCATCCAGGGAGCATGCTGGGGAGTGAGGGGCTCCTCGGCAGCTGGAGGTAGACAGCCTCAGGAGTCCAGATACTGCCAACTCTGCTGTGGACACATGGGGAGGCCTGGCACCAGCTGCTTCCCTCTTGGAACCTCAGTTTTCTCACCTGTTTAGTGGGTGCTAGTCCCGGTGAGATGAGTGAGTGCGAAGGCCGGCGAGCTTGGCATGGGTGGGTGCGCCCAATCTGCAGCACGGGAGGAGGAAGAAGATCCTGCAGCAGCAAAAGGCTCCCCCTTTAAGGCTTTGCAGGCAGGACTGGGTCCCCATCATGATTGTGAGGCTGATAGGGACCCAGGCTCCTCTGGGAACCTGGGGCAGAGCCTGCCTTTGAGCCTCAGGCTCCTGAGTCCTGGGGCCACTGTCACATGGCACATCTCACTCTTTGATAGCCAGGAAGCACCAGCGCCTTCTGGCTTTGAGGCCACTGCTGTAAACAGCCTGGCAGGGGTCCTGCCCGCCTCAGACCGCCGGACTTTTTCTAGTTGCTTTTAAGTGATTTCTTGATTTCTTTGGCTGCTGTCCTGCCCCCAGCTCGCCAGCTTTCATGTCCACACTTGTCGCCTGTACTTTTTCTTTTTTCCATTCCCCCTGGAAGTTTCTCTCTCCCACCATGTTTCATTTATAACAGACCAGCTTCAGGGCTCGGCACAGGTGGCCCCCAAACCTGGCTGGCCCATCCTTCTGGGATACTTTGCTTATGGAGCATATTAGGGAGTCCACAGTATCACGGAGGGCAGGCCACTGCTGGTCACTCCCACAGAAAGCATCAGGGTCCACTGTGCTCTTGTGTTTGATCCGATTTCGTTGGAGGGACACCACCAGGCGATACTCACCAGACCTCAGTCATTGCTTTGCCACAGCTCAGTTGCAACCTCTGACTGTTGGGTCCCTGTGCTTCTCTTTTGGGAGGGATCTTGCCCCTAGGGGTCACTTGCTGATGTCTGTGAGATGTTTGTGGTGGTCACGACTTGGATTGGGGGGGCTCCTGGCATCAAGTGGGTGGGGCCAGGGATGCTGCTCCACACTCCACCATGCCTAGGACAGCCACACCGCAGAGAATGATCCAGCCCCGAGGACCACAGTGCCAAGGGGAGGACATCTGCCGGGGTGACCTGCAGATTCTTTGATGGCCTCAGCAGTGCTCGGCTGAAATAAGCCGGTGCAGGGGCAGCCTGGTAGGGAGGAGCCACCCCAGTTCAGAGTCAGGTTTGGATCTTGTAACTGGAGCTCAACCCAGCCTGGCAGGGGTATTTGAAGGACCAGAATTAAGTACGTAATCACTCACCCAGCTCAGTCCCCAGCAGATGAGTTCTACTGAGTGAGCGGTGGCTACTGCCCTCTGGACTGAAGGGAAGATGTGTTTGTGGTCGATGTTGCTGACGGTTGAGTACTCATTCTGCTTCTGTACGTCATCTTCTCTGGCCCGTTCCACATGCCATCCTCCCTGATGAAGAGAGGCCATCGGTATTCCCAGCTAAGGAGTGACTGAGACTGTTGACCAGGAAGCAAGATTCCCAGCTCCTGCCCTGGGACTGCTTTCAGACTTGAAGATGGGGAAAGAGAACCTAAAACAGAAGCACTCATGGTGTGGTGGCAGGGTGGGGCTGGGGAGCAGTCAGAGAAGATTTTGCTGCATTGGTGCTGAGAAAGTCTGGAGGAGGGGAGCAGGGCTGAGCTGGGATGGGGCCTCACGGGGGAGGGTGAGGGCAGGCATGGAGGTGGGACCGAACCCAGGTAGGGGGGTTCAGTCTTCCCTGCCACCCTCCCAGTTGGCCCGGGTGGCCCCTTGCCCTGGCAGCATCTCCCTCTGAGCGTGTGTATCTGTGGTTGCTCTTCCCCAGAACATGGTCATGAGTTTCCGAGTCTCCGACCTTCAGATGCTCCTGGGTTTTGTTGGCCGGAGTAAGAGCGGACTTAAACACGAACTTGTCACGCGGGCCCTCCAGCTGGTCCAGTTTGACTGTAGCCCCGAGCTGTTCAAGAAAATCAAGGAGCTCTACGAGACGCGCTACGCCAAGAAGAGCTCAGAGCCTGTACCCCAACCCCACCGGCCCCTGGACCCTCTGACCATGCACTCCACCTATGAGCGGGCCAGCTCGGTACCCAGGACTCCCCTCACTGGCCCCAACATTGACTACCCCGTGCTCTACGGGAAGTACTTAAATGGACTTGGACGGTTGCCTGCCAAGACCCTCAAGCCAGAAGTGCGCCTGGTGAAGCTGCCCTTCTTCAACATGTTGGATGAATTGCTGAAGCCCACGGAGCTGGGTGAGTCCCCGTCCCCCCCAGGGTGGCTCCATCTCCCAGGTTCTCCCAGCACCCAAGGCCCATCAGGTGGCCGACCAGGAGCATTTTCTGGGGGGGCATCAAGAGTCAAGGGGCTGCGTGCAGGGGACTTGCCCCTCCCAGAAGGCACAGGGACCCACTGTTAGGTCCTTGAATTAGTAAGCTATAGCTGTGTAACAAGTTATCCTAGATGCCAGCAGCTTGGAGTAGCTGACACTTCAGTTTCTGAAGGTCACAACTGGGGAGTGGCCTAGCTGGGTTGTTCTCACTTGGGGTCACTCAGGGGGTCATGGTCCAGCTGTTGCCAGGGGCTGCCTAATCTGAAGGCTTGACTGGGGCAGGGGTGGCATGCTTATTCATTGTACCGAGACAGCAACTGTTGGCTAGAGACACCAGCTCTTGCCACATGGGCCTCTGCGGACTAATTGAGTGTTCTCCCAGCGTGGTGTGGAGTGGTGGCTTGTCCCGTCCGTCCGTTCCCCCCCACCCCCACCAGCACTGTGATGGGTCAGGGGGAGGGGGCTGCAGAAAGGGAGAGAGAAAGTGAACATGGTCACATATGTGAGCATGTGACCCCACTGGAAGCCAAGGGCTCCCCTGCAACCTCAGCTTGGAAGTAGCATGTTTTTGCTTTGGCTGTATCCCACTGGTCACAGGGACCAATTCTGCTGCACTGTGGGCAGGGCCTTTGCCTTTGCCAGACCACCGGGAGGCAGGGATCACTGGAGGCCACCTGGAGGGGTGGCCACTCTGCTCTTACTCCTGGTGGCAAAGGAGCTGGAGTTTTGATCTGAGGTTCAACCTGATTGCCCCACCATCCCCGCCCCCTAGCAGAAGGCTGTTTCCTAGTAGGCAGTCTGTGGGAGTGACCCTGGTCAGCAGGATCAGGCCTATCCACACAGGCGGGCCATCAGTGTGTGGGTAGGTGTGTCTGCAAGAGGCAGGCGCAGCCACAGGTGGAGGAGATGATGTCGCGGAACCTTGTTCTCGTTTCTCTATCCCTTCTGTTTGAGGACTCGCTGTGTGTCAGACCTATAGGGTGGCACGTGAGTAGGCCCCCACCGCTTCCATGCAGCCAGATGACTGGGCTGGGAGTGGGTGTCAGCCTGGACTCAGTCTCAGAAGCTGCCCTGAGCCCCCCACCCCTGAGCCACAGCTTCCTGGGCCTCCAAGGCTCCAGAGAGCGAGTAGAATGCAATGGGGTGCTTGTGGTCCCTCCGGTTTTCCCAGGTCCCTGAGTGTTCCTATTCACCCACACACTCCTCTTCCCCCTCACCCACACACTCAGTCCCAGTGTATCTCTGACCACCTGCAGGGTGGGGGATGCAGACAGAGCCCGCCACGCTTGTAGAGGCCCCCTGCTAGCACCCTTTGTTTGGGGCCTCCAGGTACCCCAGCCTAACCTGGTGCTGTGTGTCCTGAAGCCCAACATGGTGGGCCCAGGTCACGAGTCAGTCCCAGCACCCTGTGCCAGAGGTCGTGGCCGCTCCACGCCCCCGCCCACCATGCCCCTGGCCACGTGTTCCAGTCCCTCTCAGCCCTGCTGACCCAGCGCCCTGCCTTGCTCAGCAGGGGCCCCCTCTCTGCCCACAGGCTTTAACTCCAGCCCCGAGCCGCTGGCTCTTCTGTCCTGCCCTGGTTGGGAGCGGGAGGGGAGGGGAGGACTGGCGGCTACCTCGCTCCTTCTCCCTGCCACCTTTGGACTTAGGGAGGGTGGGGTTGCATCAGAGGTAAAGGAAGGTGCCACGGATGGGTGGTCCTGGGGTCTGAGGCCCGCACTGCAGCCCAGGGCTGTGCCCTCCACTGCCTTCTCTCTGGCATCAGGAGGTGTTTCTCACGAACCCCTGGGTGGGGGCAGGTTGGCCCAGCAGCACCTGTCATGGGAGTATTGTGACAGCTCTGGGGACCCAAGGCCTTTCCCTGAGTTTCTCTGTCTCTGCTACCCCCGCCCTGGCCTCTCTTGATGTCAGGACTCATTTCCCAACACCCCCCAGCACAATCCCTATAGACTGTGGGGCCTCAGCCCTGGCTGGCTGGCTGTTGTGAAGATTGAGCTGACAGTTCAGACTCTTTCCTGAGGACTCAATCACCATCTTTGCCACAGGGAGGCTGGGTTTTAAGGGAGGCTGCCGGGCGGGCTTGGCACTCGGCAGGGGCCAGGACCAGGACTGGAGGTGACTTTGAACTTGAGGCGGCAGCCTCCCTCCCCAGCCTGGACCGTGGGCTTCCTTCCTGCACGCAAATGTGCAGTCACTCCCGGCCCACAATGCATCACTTTGCCCTGAGCCCCCGGGGACCCCGGTCACCTGATCTCCGGGAGAGTCTGCTCCCCTGTCTGCACCAGGAATCACTCGGCTCTGTTCAGAACAAAGAGGCCGACCCCACCCTGCCTGTGCTCCCACCCATTCCCCTGCCCCTCCCCCAGGATGCACCCTGCTCCCGAGTCTCCAGGACCCCCAGGGGCTGCCCGAGGTCCTAGGGGGAGACATGATTGAGTGAGCACATACACCGGGCCCTGAGCCAGCTGGTCCCCTCTGCTCTGGGACCAGCCATTCTGGGCGCCTCCCCACAGTGCCTTCTATGGCTGGCACAGCCCAGGAGCCCCCTCAGGAGGCTCAGGCCAGCTTCCCCTTCTCCCGCACCCCAGGTCCTGACCTGCCACCTGAAAGGAGGCCCAAACAGTCTTGTTCTGTTTCCCAGATCAGCCACTGGCCTGCTCCGGGATGGAGCCCGTGCCTGGCGGACAGGAGACATAAATCACACACAGAGGAATGTTCGGGTTGGGGGAGGGGAGGGGAATAATGGAGCCACAGACCCGGAGCTGGAAGGACCTTAGGAGGCAGATGATCCACTCCGCAGGGGTGGGGACGGCTTCCAGAAAGGTCAGGAGACTAGCCCAAGGTCACACAGCATCCTGAGGAGGGGCCCCTGGAGCCTTGTGCTCAGCCAGCTTCCCCACTCTGAGCCCTCCCCACGCCATGGCTGCCTTGCTCTCCTGTGGGGAAGCACCATCTCTGAACCACTCTGGACTCTGGGCCTCATTTCAGGACTGGGAGCCCAGCCGTCAGGGCCAAGCATCCAAGGCAGAGGCGCTTACAGGGGGCCGGGAATGCAGTCTTAGATCCAGTGCTGCTGCTTGGGTCTTAACCCCCTGATGGCCTGAGGGTCCCCCAGGCCTGGCCACTTGGGCTGTTAGTGACCAGAGGCTGACTGGGGAGGGCCAGACCTCAGGGCCACGGTGCGTGGGCGAGAGGAGGTGCTGTCATGAGACACGCTGGCAGAAGGAAGGAGGCATGACCTGGCCCTGCACTGCCCCTCGGGGCTCCTGGCATCCTGTGGCCAGTGCCTTGGGTGGGACGACTCAGGCGGCCCGGCCAGGTGATCGAGCTGCCTCCCCAGGTCTCCTTGTGCCCCAGGAGGTGGTCGGCTGACTCTGGTGGAGAGCTGCCAGTCTAGCACCCGTCCCATTGGGCAGGGCGCACGTAGGTACCTCATTCAAGGTCTAAGCCCTTTGGCTGATATTGCCCAGATGACAAGCAAGGCAATGGGGTCCCTGACTGGCAAGGAATGCTCTGAGCAGCAGTGGGGGTTGTCAGTACCAGGAGCCCTGTACTGTGCATTTGTTGGGAGGTAGCAGTCAGGAAGGCTTCCTGGAGGAGGTCACAATCCCACCCGGACCTGAGGGATAAGTAGTAGTTAAGCTGAACTTAAGCGGGTGGGTGGATGGTGTTCCAGGCAGAGGCCCAGTGGTGAGAGAGTTTGTGAATGAAGGCTGTTGTGACCGGAGCGCAGTGTGGCGCAGGCTGGGGTCAGGAGAGCGGCCTGGACATGGGTGGGTTGTGGCATTGGGGGGGACCAGCTGGCATGTCCTGAGGGCTTCCCAGCTTTTCTGGGCTATATTTTACCTCTGTTCTGAGGCGGGAAATACCCCTGAGGTGCAAAGAAGCAGAGTCACCTGCCTGCTGCCCCACAGCCTGGTGTGGGACCCACCCCGCCCATAGGCCCTCCGTGGCATTCTTGGCCATTCCATGCTGTGGGAGCCCGGACGGTCACAAGGCGTCCTGTGTCCTGTGTCCCAGCTCCAGGGGCAGGTGGCCTGAGCTCCTGAGCTCCTGGGCTGCCTGGGCATCCCCTGTCCGTGGTGGTGGGGGAGGGTCTCCACCAGCTCTGCAGCACGTGGTTGCCCTGGGAGCGCCTGGCACAGCCTGTGAAGGGCTCCTTGGGTGGAGGTAGAGGTTTTCCTCACAAGGCCTCCTGCGCACAGGCCTCAGTCCTGCCGGAGGGGGCTCACTCCCATTGCCCATGATCCCCTCACCTCCCAACTTTCTGCACAGCCCTGGTTTCCACTTGCCCAACATCCCTCCTCCCTCCTGTTTTCTCCACATGCTAACTCCACACCGCCACCCCCCACCCCCCTCCCACCCCAGCTGCAGCTAGAGGAAGCTTTTAGACAGCAGGCTGATCCCATTCCTCCTCTACTCCAAGCACTCTCCTGATCTGCTGGCTTGTCTGCCAGATCCCCTCCTTGCTCTCACTTGCTCCCTCTCGCCTGGTCCAACCCTCACCCTCACGCACTCTGCTCCACCTCCAGCACTCCTGGCCAGGTCCTGCCCCGGGGCCTTTGCACATGCTGTTACCAACATGGTCCTCCCTGCCCCACGGCCTGATCTAAAGCTCACCTCCCTTTCTTCCTCATCACTCTCTCATCCTCTGAGGCCTGGGGCTGGCTTGTCCCCACCACATCCATGGGACGGAGGGGGTGCAGGCAGTGTGAGCAAAGGCTTGGAGCTGAGAAGCAACCGCAGGCTGCAGGGCGAACGCTGAGCCCCCACTTCTGCATTCATTCTTCTAATCCCACCAGTAGGAAGTCAGGGGTGCTTACCCCAGGTGGAGGAGCTGGGGTTTGAACCAGAGCCCCTAATTGGGGCTTGTTGTACCCACCTGCCCCCCTCCATTGTGAGCCCCCTGCTCTGCTCCCAGCC